ACTACTTTCTCTTGTGGTACAAAGTTTGCTTTTAGAAAAAATCTCTTAAGATTACAGTTTAAAATAATGAAATGATGAAAACAAGATAAATAAGAGAGAATGAACACTGTAGATCAATAAAAGCAAGTGCTGCTTTAACCAGGATGTGAAATAACATTTTTTTTTCTAACCAGTTACATTATAAAGCTGTGTATTTAGCCTTGAATATAAATGATGGGGTCTGTTTTTTCATTGATTACTTTACTTTCTCATGGATTTTTATGAGGTAGTAGAGGAGACGGTGGAGGAGAGAAGAGTAAGTAGATATGTAAAACAGCATGTTTGACAGTGACTAAGCATGAAAAATCTTTTTCAAAGAGCTGAGAGGATGCTCTTTAAATAATGCTATCCATACCTGACTCCTAATATCTCCATGCATAACTTTGTACCAAAAGATAAGCTAGCTTTGTAATTTGTGATTGTGAAAGGTGTCTTAGGCGCTTAATGAATTTTATAAGAAGAACTGGTGATTTGGGGTAAATCTACCAGTCTGTCTTATCAGATAGATCTTATCAGTCCTGCAGAAAGTACTGCCTCTTTGTATCATGCAATTGCTTTTCTTAGCACAGAGTTCTCTGCATGTCACACCTCTAATGTTCTTACTGCCGGTTTTGTGTGCATGTAAAGTTGAAAGTCACGGGGTTTTTTCCGCTTTTCTCCTGCATGAGGTTGCTGTTAAAGCATTTTTTCTTTATGTAAATATTGAAAAATTGAAAACGTGATGAATGCAAAACTGTTTAGTAATATTCTTTTTTTATGGTATAAAAAGAAATCCTGTTATAGCACTTTTGTCAATTGATATGAACATGTTTCATGAAAGATGATGCCATTCTTTTACCCATTTTCAGAAGGAAAATTCCATGAACATAACAAAGTGATTTTGTTTTAATCCAAACCTACATGCCAACTAAGTACTGATAGAGTTCATATTTCAGTTCACATCCATTAGGCTACATTGTGAAGAATTTATTGGGAAATGACCAAGGGAAGAACTGAAGAAGTCATAACACCCTTATTTACAAAGTGTGATTTATAAATGGTGTTTAAAAAATGGGTTTAATGTAAACTCTTCTGTAATATTTATCTTAAGAGAAACCTGGAGAGAATAAATTGAACGCTTTGTTGTTCACAGAAGTTGAACTGTAGATGTGACTTGGAAAAGAAAGGTTTCTGTGAGGTGACTTAACTTGGTTAAATTGTGTCTGTACAGGCTCTTGGTAGGTTTTCTATCTGATATTGAACTGAAACATTGACATAGCCATAGGCTGTTGCAGATAATATGTTAGTATGGTGAGTAAGAACTGTAAATTCTGGACAAATGTCATTATAGGAAACTTCAGTGGGACGTTATACCTTTTTGGTTTAGAAACATTTTTTTATGATTAAGACCTTCTGTCACACAATGCAATTGTGATTCCAGATGTTAATCAATAAGTAATTTAAATAGTGATTTCTAGATCTTGCAAAGACAGCCCCTGTTTCACAGTTGGCCATTTTAGTGTAAACAAGCTTCGTAACTAAACAAAACAAATGAAAGTGAGTAGCTAGGATCCATTTTGGTAATATATTACTTTTCCAGACCTCATGCTTTTATATTTAAAAATAAATATTCTTTGCTGCTTATGGTATTTTGAGGGAGTTTTTTCTTGATTCTGAAGTGTCATGCTATAACAGCAGGTCTAGAAGTTGTCTGGGAAGAGCAAGGATATTTGTGTGTGTGAAAGGTATGGTAAAAATTCAAACCAGAAATTACTGCTATTCTATCTGAGCATTGAGAGGAAGGTATAACAAAGTGAATTGTAACACTGAAAGTGAGGGTATGTTTAGTGCGTTTGGCTGAGGGTACTGAACACAGATCAAAGAAAGAAAAATACAGATAAAGCTGGGAAGAGAGAGCAGAGCTTACGATAAAACAAACATGGAGCCATCAAATAAGTAACTATCTGTGTAGGGTCTGTGGGGCTTCAGGCAGACATTAGGATCCACTCTTTACTCTGAGTTTCTCACAAACTACTACGTATCTTTACTGGTTGTAGTTGAAATTGCTATACATTTTACAATTGTACTGCAACTATAAAGATCTGAATCTGGGGAACTCAGGTTAGAACAAGGATCCTATTGTTCCAATAAGAAAGGAGTTTAATAAAATTTGGAGGAAGGTAGGAAAAAGCTTTCAGTATACGGGAGACTTTAAATTATTTTTATTTGTCTGCAAAGTGAAAACTTACTAGTTGTGTTTTAACAGAAAGAGCCAGAAATGAGTCAGGTGGCAGCTAATTGTGATAATACTAAAGAAGCATTTAGGGGTTTATGGGTTAGAGCTGGGTTATTCATTATCAGCTGAAAGATGCCCGATTTGGGCAGTGTACAAAGACTACTGTTGTTTAAAAAAACCTGTTGTTTCAAAACATCCTTAAGTTCTCTACATTTTAAATAAGACTGAAGCATGAAGGATTTAAAAGGCTGTGATTTACAAACAGCCCTGTAGAAGATTACACCAAGTTTCTTTGAATTCTGCTTAACATTGATCTTCAACCTTAAACCCCCAGAACCCACTTATTTAGGATGATGTTTAAAGGCAGCTTGAATTTAGTTGATTATGTTGAATAATCTGCAGTCTGAGTTTCTAAAACAGTTACTTGTCCCACGTTTAATTTTAGATCATTAATATTCATTATTAATATAGAATACATTTTTATATCAGCTGTAGTAATTTAGTGAAAGATAGCAGGTAACTATTTTCTAGTAGTTTGATTGAAGTAAGGACACTTGAAGACTGTTATTTTATATATGCTTGTGTTTTCTTCAGAGAACCATTTGCTGCAATGTGTTAAGGGACACCTGTTTCCTAAACAGGCAATATAAGCAATATGAGTAATAACACTTCAAAAAAAAAATTCTTGAAATATATTCAAGTTTTTTTTACTTTTTTTCTGACACTCCGAATAAAGTCCAGGATATGAGTTAATTACCATAGGGAGCACTTGGTATCCACTCTGTTTTAACTTCAATATAGGTGGCACTACAACTCATAAGAATTTTATCACACTATAGTTCTTTTGTATATAGAAGTTGATGTACAAGAAGTTTAAATATGTTACCATATGTGCTTTATGGTTAAGTACGAGAAGCTTAAAATCTAACAGCACAGTTTCTATGTGAAATTTTGTGTGACCTGGCTAACAGACAGGTCCTTGCTTTAAATAATAAAAGATATAGGCCCTTTTTAATATTAAATTGAATACTTGCTTTTCAGAAGGAAGGGATTAGATTATATCCTTTGTGTCAGTGAATCACACTTTTTCTTTACAAACTGTTCTGGAGAGGTGATGATACTTCTTCAGTGTTAGTCCCTGGAAGTCTAACAAGTGACAGGCTGCATTTACAGAAATGGATGTCAGACCAGAAAAGGATTACTGGTGACTAGTGCTTATTTATAGTACCTTTGCTGGTATTTTTCTCAGAATATGCTCCACATGCTTCTTGCTTAGACTTCCCTTTTATATTTCTTCAGAAGTTAAGCCTTAAAGATAAGACACAGAAAATCTTTAGTGAATGTTCAACTCTGCGGGCTGGAGTTTCAGTTGTTTCATCAGCCGGTAAAGGAAAGCAAACTCCATGATCAGATACCGTTTCAGATCTTCAGGGAAAGGCCTTGTTCAGAACATAATGACATCTGAAATGCTAATTATGTCCTGTGCTGTTTTTCCCTTGTTTCTGTCAGTTAATGTGATGCACACTTTCAGACAAACTTCCTCTTCCCGCTGATGTGTGTACTAGAGATTTCTTCTATTTTTCTGGACTGCTGATGTATCTTGTCACACTTAAGAATATATGTGTTATGTGGCTTATCCCTTCTTGTTAAAATTCTTAGAAATCTTGTGATATTGAGAGTGAAGGTTTCATGTATTTATTAACTGCTAGTGATGAGGATGAGCTCATGAGGTGCAGTTCAACCTGTACAGGATTCAATACTTTCTTTTGAGTACCTGCCATTGTTGACCATTACAGATACGCTGATGGGCTTAGAAGACTTCTCATCTGATCCAATATGGAATATGCCACTTTCATTATTTATTAATCAGGCCTAATCAGTCTGAGATTTTTGTAATTTGTAATTATAAAACAACTGGAGATAAATTAAAGCTTAGATGACAAAAAGGAGTGTAGGTTAAAATATTCATGGTCTTGATTTAAAAAAAAAAATCATGACTAAATATACTGTCAGTAATTGGCAATCCAAAGTACAGTTACCATTAGATATTCTCTAGTCATAGAAGCTTCTTCATTTCCAATACTTCAAAAAGGGTGGTATTTGCCAATGAGATTGTAAATGCTTCATTTTAAGAGAATTATCCTTTATGTATTATGCTTTGGGAATGTTCTTCATGCAAAGGACTTTTTTACCACAAGGCATTTTAACTAAGCCTTCTTGATTAGCTAAGGTTTACATTCAGTGCAGTTTGTGTATTTGTGATGGGGTATGTTGTGATCATCTTGTATATTTTAGTACTTTTTTTGTTCTGTTATTAGTATTAAAATAGTCCTCTAATTGCATTCTGTGGAAAGACAGAGCAATTACCAACATCAAAGTGCATGTAGCAACCTGAAGATTACAGTGTACAATCCCATCACAAACCTTTTTTTAGATCGTACATTGTCAGAAAAGAAGTGTCGAGTCTAACAGAGAGTGTTATAGTAGCAACCCAAAAATGTGTCAGGTGTAGTTACCAATGTAGTTACTTTTTATGTAGTCTTTCAGAGCAGTAGAAAAGCTTTCATAACGTGGAAAATTAACCTAACATTTCAAAAAACTTCTCTAAAACTGTACATGTAAATTAAATCTAGAGGAGTTTGGGGTAAAACCTCTTATGAAGACAGTTAAAATTAAACGCTTTATGCAATGTGTGTGGCCTTCATTCTTTCTCTGATGGTAATTTTTTTTTTTATTACTTCTACAGGTTCAGTCCATGCCACATCAATAGCAGCTTCCAGGGTGGAGCAAGCACTGTCTGAGGTTGCTTCATCTCTGCAAAGCAGTGCCCCTAAACAAGGTCCCCTGCATCCTTGGATGACTCTAGCTCAAATATGGCTTCATGCAGGTACTGTGAAAGTAAAATTCTTTCTTGTTCTTTCCCTTCCTCTTTCTTGCTACCCTAAGGACTTGCAAAAATCTGCTTGTTTCCTTCAGAATCTGTTATCACCCATCAGATCAAACATTTTCCAGGTGTCTGTGGCACTAAAGCAAGTCAAGAAATAAAAGCACATTAGAGTTTCTCATGTGTAAGATCATTTATGTAAGATAAGGCAATAGTTTCGTAATGCAGCTGTTATCAGTGGAGTCATATCTTCTGTAGAACAAGGCAGCGCTCTCTTCCTTATCTGAGAATTTAATTTCTGAAGTACCTGGAGTACCATAGTATATGGAAATTTAGATGCCCTCATTCCATTGGTTGGAAATAGATGTTTGTAAGATTATTGAATAGAGTTCCTGCAACTAGAAAGCCTTTATAATTGAAAATAAATAACTCTACATATGTGGATAGTAGTACTATTGAACAACCTGTCCCTTGCAGCTGTGATAATGAGCTGTCATTCAGTTTTCTTCCTTCTAGCTTCATTAATGTAGAAGACCCAGGATTGTTTTTCTAAATGTGAGTCATCTTGAGTGGATTTAGTATTGTTATGCTGCTTCAAGCCTCAAGCTAAATGCAATATCACAAGTGTCTGTTGAATAAAATTTTAACCAGAAAATGATGATTTGGTATATTTTTACACAGTTAAAAATGTATACCATGCAATTGTTTTTATCGATAATTGCATCAGAAAGGTGTAATTTAGAAATCAGTTAGCAATTGTTCTGCTTTGGTCTGCTCACAGACTTGAGCATTTTTCAGTGACATAATTTTTTGCTTCGTGTTTACATTCAACAAAACAGTGCTGTACTGCTTAGTGTTTTAATTTGCCTATTTTACTTTAACAGTTTTATTGTGTGAAAGTCAATACAGGGCAGTGGCTCCCAGTGATTAATTAATGTTTTAAATAATAAAAAAAAACCTCAGAAGACTGGAAAGAAAGAACAATGATAGTCATGAATAATAGTGATCTCATCTGGGGGTGGAAGAACTCAAAAGTATCACAAATTATAACAAGGCAAGGTCCACCAGGGCATAGTGTAGTCACTTGTACTGCATCGTGGCATCATTGATTTTAAATATTTATAAACCATCACAAACAGTCATCTACATTAACTCTTAGCATTTATAATGTTGATAATTTCTCAACCTTCTGTGACAGCTTGTTCCACTGGTTATTTTATGTTTTTTAATTTTTGTTGGTCATATCCTGTTGCTGCTTATCCAGTCTGTGCAAGTGACTGTTAACTGTTTTGCCCACAAAGGAGGGGTCTGGACACTTTTTGCTGATTCCCTTTTAGTTCACAACTTAGGTTTGCATCCACATTGGTAGTCTACTGCACAGTCCACCTTCTACTCTTGAAAATATCTGTCTTAGCAAGCATGGTCTGTAGGCCATATTCTTGATTTCCAGCAGGAGAAAGAATGGGTAGGGAGTAGGAGAAACTTGGGTTGGAGAATGAGCTAAAGTAGCAAAGATCTAGGGGAAGGACACAACAAAGTATGAAGAGTGCTCTGCCTCTTTGTGTGTGGGGAGCCATGAAAGAAAGAAAACAGGAGATGAAAGAGAGCTTCTGTCTGCCTTCAGAGGAGGTACTGTAACCTGAAGTCTGCTCCTTTGCCACTTCGGAATGATCCTCTTCTTGGTACTTTGGTACTTCAGACTGGTGGTTTGTGCTGCATTTCAGGGTGTTTAGATGTCCTGCTATTCAGCTGCTTGTCCTGCTACAGTAAATGCACTGAACCTTGAGAAAGGCTCTTTACTGGAGGAACATTCAGAATAAAGTTTTCCCCCATAAGCACAATACAAAGCAGATATTCTGGAAGGTATCTTCATCAGTAACTTGCATAGAAAATGATAAAATTACTTAACGCCTCACTTACAGCATATGTTCTTTAAATAAAAGTGAAGCTTTACCATTGGGAAATTGCTTCGTTTCTGAGACTCATGCCACATTTAACTGTTTAACTCCCTGTGTGGTTGTGCAGTGTTTTACTTCTTACTGGGAGTAGAGGGGGAATCTTTAACGAGCCTTAAATCTTAAAATACAGAAATTGATAATTATTCTTCCTGTTAAATTATATAGACATGGAAAAGTTACATAAATAAGTTCTAATACATTCCAGCTGTCATTAGTGTAAATGAACATGGCGTTCAGTCCAAAGAAGTTGATTTTGCACACAGTAACTGGCTTTTAATTTTTCATCTTATGTTTATTAGTGGACTGCTTCAGCATTCCATTTCTAGGCATGCAGTGTAAAGGTGGAAAATCAGGCTTATTTTAAATTTGAAACAAAATGACTTTTGCAATTAGTACATTCTCCAGTAACTCACTGTTAGAACCCTAACCTGTTCCTAAATGATCAATGGCTCTGATGGTCCTTGAGAAATGCATCAAGACTGAGCTCAATATTGCTATGCAGCTTGATTGGAAAACAGATTGCTTTCTCAATAAAACGCAACTGCAAGCATTGGAAGGGTTTGAGTGAGAAGGCATTCTTGGTGTTCTCTAGGTGAAGACATTGAGAAGAGCGCATCAGGCTTGGCACCTGGTTTCTCTTCAAACTGCTGCTCATCTCTGAGATTTTCCTACTCAGTGTGCTGGCACTTGTCAGTTTTCCATAATGGATTTATTTGAACCACAAGCTGAACTTTATCTTCATTCTTTCATAGTTTTTCAAAAAGCCTGCTGTATATTCTGTTGGGGTGGAATAACTTCTGGTAGAGAAAAGGAAAAGTTATTTTTAAAATAACTCTATAATATCTTTAAACATAAAGGAGTTCTTTTATTTAATTTTAATACTTTTAGGAAGGTCAATTAATAACTGTCAGGTTTGTCTGCTGCAGTCAGTAAGTAGGACAGCAAGATTTAGTATCTCTTAATGTAAGACTAATTTGTAAGCAGTATTGCAGCCTCTGTTGGCTAGTGTTAAAAGCTATTGCTACCCTACTTGTTTCCCCTCAAGGAATAAAGAATTTCAACTGCAGTGTGTTAAAATTAGTAACCTCTGCTTGTTTTTCAGTTTAGAATTATTGTGGTAGCAGATAATCACCTACTTAAGTAATTTTTAATTTCTGCATATTATTTGCTAGTCATTATAGCTTTTACTTAGTACCTTTTATAGTCTGTGTAAATTATATTTTACCTAACTGTCTTTGAACCAAGCAACTTGGGAATGTGTATCAGACTTTAAAATTGTGTTTCAAGTCTGTTGATGCTGGAAAAGAGACAATAAAACCAGGAAAGCTCAAATGATTAGCATTTAAATAATGTAGTGTATTTTATACTCACTAAAATCTTGTTTCTCACATAGTAATACTGACCATGTAGCTTTTAGAAAAGTATTCAAGAATGAAGTACCCAAAGGTTTTCCAAAAATATTTTAAGGTTTAAAAAAAAACCCCAAACCCATAGTACAATTTACATTTTATGCTGTATGTTCAGCTGTCGAATTATGGCTACAACTTGCTCTTTGGATTCTACCAACAGTTAGTAAAAGTAAAATCCCAAATTTAGATTTTTATTTCAAAATTTTATCCCTTCATTATCTTCCAGGTTTGCTATTCTTTAATTATACAGTGCCATCTCTGACTAGCTGAGGTGGTTCTTTTAGGCTTAGGGGGAAAAAAAAAGCTTGCTGGATCTGCAATTTAATGTGTTAGTTCTTCATGTGGATGAGACATTTTTCCATCAAGAAGCATTTCATTAGTTTCTAAAATTATACTGCATTAATCCATCCATCCACATGGATGTACTATTTATGTTGGGTAGAATGTGTTCTGTGAAATCACTGAGTCAACTGAGGAGCAAAATAATGCTCTTCTGGTTAAAAAAAGTCTATTCTGTCATCAATAGGATCAGGTCTTAGAGGAAGAAAATAATTTCCTCCAGCACCCCTATAGAAATCAGTTAGAAACCAGAAAATGCATGGGACCTTTAAACTGTACTTACCAACTGCTACTGAAAGTCCAGTTTTTGTTAGTCATTGTTATAAATTGATTTTGATTAAAATAATTATGAATATTCATAGCAGGTACCACCTGTAGGTTAAGGTTTATATACTCTGCTGTGCTTAAGTTGACTAGTTAGGGATACTATTAAGTCTGTTTAATGCAATTATCTCAGAAGAAAGCTCCTTTAAAGGCACTCAAACATCTGTCCCATTCAGAGTTTTAGGCATAACTGCAAATCCACTATCGTAGTGTGAGATCCTGATCTGACAGCCTTTAAACCAAGATGGGTGGCCTGTGCTGTACAGTAAGAAACATGTCTTGAACAGCAATAGATCACTTTCCTGTCTTGATGGAGCATTTTGATTTAAACCTTAATCTGTAACTCCTTTACAGTGTGATACAATAGAATGCAGTTATACAGTTACTCTGAGGCTCAATTTTTCTAGGTATTTCTTTTACCAACATAGAAGAAACAGATAATTCAAACCAGAAACTTTAATACCTTTTTCTTGCATTTAGTATCTCTTTATTTGTATCTCTCCCATTCTTTCAGCAAGAGATTAAGATAATCCAAGAGGGTAGTTAAATAGCAGTGTTGAAGAGCGACATAAGAGCTATTGAAGGCAAATACTTCTGCTGTTGTTACTCGTTAATCACTTACAGAATTAACCTTTTTTTCCCCCTGTAGTCAATCTGATTTAGAAAAGTATGTGTCAGGCTACTCAACTGCTTTCATCAGGAGTGATTTACATTAAATATAGCTTTTTTTTTAGAAAAATAAATGTTCTTAGCTTTTGGAGGATATCTTAAATAAAAGGCTTGGAAATACGAACAGATTTTGTTAAATCAGAATGCTGATTAAGCATTTCACATGTTCTGCCAACTAGGAAACTTTTCATATCAAATAACATTATATTTCTTTTGAAACGCTCTGAAGTAGGAAACTGAGAACCAGGCTTGCCATTTAACGATTGGTAGCTGGAGCAATTACTACTGCTTCCTTAACAACTGACACATAAAATTTGGAAAATTTTCAAAAAATTTTTTGAAAAAAATTTTACATTTAGAAAAGCAACTTTCCTAAAAGAATGATTTGTTTAAAATCATTTATGTATATTCATTTATCTGGACCTGTGCAAGGCGTTTGACGCTGTCTCACACAACAGTGTCCTTCTCTCTAAGTTGGAGAAGCATGGACTAGGTGCATGGACTAAACTGATGGACAACTCGATGAATAAGGAGTTGGCTGGATGGTCACAGTCAAAAGAGTTGCAGTCAACAGTTCAATGTGGAGACCGATGGCAAGTGGTGTCCCTTATGTTGGTATTGGGAGCAACACTGTTTAACATCTTTGTTGATGACATGGACAGTGGGATTGAGTGCACCCTCAGCAAGTTTGCCAATGACACCAAGCTGAGTGGTACGGTCAACATGCTGGCGGGACGGGACCCCATCCAGAGGGACCTTGACAGGCTTGAGAGGTGGGCCTGTGCTAACCTCATGAAGTTCAACAAGATCAAGTGCAAGATCCTGCAGCTGGGTGAGGGCAACTCCAAGCATAGATACAGGCTGGGTGGAGAATGGATTGCGAGCAGCCCAGAGGAGAAGGACTTGGGGGTACTGGTGGACGAGAAGCTCAACATGAGCCGGCAATGTGCGCTTGCAGCCCAGAAGTCGAGAGAAGTGTGGCCAGCAGGTCGAGGGAGGTGATTCTGCCCCTCTACTCTGTTCTCGTGAGACCCCATCTGGAGTACTGTGTCCAGCTCTGGGGCCCCCAACACAAGAAGGATATAGACCTACTGGAGCGAGTCCAGAGGAGGGTCACCAGGATGATCCAAGGGCTGGAGCATTTCTCCTATGAGGACAGGCTGGGAGAGTTGGGGCTGTTCAGCCTGGAGAAGAGAAGGCTCCGAGGAGACCCGATAGTGGCCTTCCAGTACCTGAAGGGGACCTACAAGAAAACTGGGGAGAGACTTTTAATTACAAGGGCAGGTAGTGATAGAACAAGGGGAAATGGTTATAAACTGGACAAGAGTTGATTTCAGTTAGATATTAGAAAGAAATTATTTCCTGTGAGGATGGTGAGACACTGGAACAGGTTGCCCAAGGAAGTTGTGGATGCCCCCTCCCTGGAAGTGTTCAAGGCCAGGTTGGATGAGGCTTTGAGCAACTTAGTCTAGTGGAAGATGTCCCTGCTCATGGCAGGGGGGTTGGAACCAGGTGATCTTTAAGGTCCCTTCCAACCTAAACAGTTCTATGATTCTATGTAATTATGTAAATATGTAATTGTCTTAAACAACATTTATTTATTTATTTATTTATTTATTTTAGGAAAATAGCTGTTGCTTAGAATGGAAGTATTTACAAATACAGCATATGTGACAACATATAGTCATGGTATGATGAAGCAAGAAGCATTCATTGGTTCTCACATTCCTTCCACAGCTGAAGTCTACATAGGAATTGGGAAGCCTGCTGAGGCCACAGCGTGTACCCAGGAAGCAGCCAATCTCTTTCCAATGTCACACTATGTTCTCTACATGAGAGGTCAGGTGGCTGAACTTCGTGGAAATATCGATGAAGCCAAACGCTGGTATGAAGAAGCCTTATCTATTAGTCCCACCCATGTGAAAAGCATGCAGAGGCTGGTAAGTCTTGAGTCCATGTTCATAAGTACTTTTCTCTCAACTCAGGATACTGTATTGTGAAATCTTAGCTTGCTGTGGGGAACCCATAGGTTATGAGTTTGGATCTATATTTTTATTAGCAAAAAACTTTGGAAACAATCTTTTCTGGCTTTTTATTCTCTCTTTTGTGTATGTGGAGACATAAAAAGGATCTGCAGGCAATGACTATTTCAGTCCTAACAGAGACTGCAGCAAAAGAAGTAATTTGCATCTGCTTAATATTCAGTGCTCTTGGGAAACAGAGGTGGCTCATGGTAAGAGAAGAACTGGATACTGTAGTCTAGAGGAAAGACCAGTCATTCTGATATCTAATTCCAAATTAAAAGTTGAATTCTGCATGTTGATTGATGACCTTCATGCTGTATGATTTCTTGTATTTTTGAAAGGTAGAGAATCAGTCTTGCTCTCAAAGGAATGTGTAGCTTTGAGTACAAAGGTGCCTTCCCCAGTATAAACATATAAGTTTATTTATGTACTTCATATATACATACATGTATATATGCTGTGCTTACTACGTTAGGAAAATTACTTTCTTCATTTAATCCAGTTTTCTTCCAGATAGAGCAGAGTAGAACAGCTGCAATCAGCTTCTTACCCAATGTTTTTGTTCAGAAGTAGAAGCTGGTTTCTGCCTAGGTGCTTATGAATTATTCAGAAAAATTTCTCGTGCATCCCTGAGGGGAACATATGAGACAAAAGATCAGATAGGAAGGCAGCACAAGGAAAGTTTTTTGTTTCACCTTTTTAGCATTTCAAGATATTGGAGCCTACTGGCAAATGCCAAAAGGTTCCTTTTTCTGAAGAAGCAGGCAGTTGACCTAAGGCACTGCAGCTCAGTGAAAATGAAAAAGCTTATGTTTTTCTGGATGTCTTTTTGCCCCTCCTCTGAATCCACCTTTGAATAAATAGTCTGCAAACACATGATGCTCTTCAGAATGACTGAGAAATTAACTGTCTTAAGAAGCATGTGAGATGAAAAATACAGTGCTTCCATTCCGAGTTCCCTTTTTAGGAGCTTTTCAGTTTGAGTGCAAGCTGGTGGAAAAATATTCATTTCATTAGATTGACCAGTGCTTTTCAAGCATTTGTAGAATTTAAAATGTTGTTATTTAAAAGCTTTCTCTGTTACTCTAGACCTTTTCTGTACCAGCATGTTGTTTTGAATAGATGTTGAGAGTTTCATGCTGCTTAAATACAAATAATAAAGGTGTATGCTATAAAAATGCTTGTCTATGCAATTCCATGTGGGGAAAAAGTACAGAATTCTGTATCCTTCTTGATCTTTTGACTACTGCAAAAAGTATTTTGAGGATGAAGTTTGCAGTGTTTACTCTTGCCTGTGTGTGTAGATGAGTATCTGTACATCTCAACACTTTGTGTATATTTACCTTTTTACTATAACGAGATATGATCTCGGTGGCAGGGGAGCTATAGCAACAGCACTGTGGAGGTACCAGCCTCTATAACAACAGCTGAAACACTAACTTGCAATATTTGTATTCACAATTCTAAGCTGACAGTCCATTTATGAACCAAAATTCTGTGAAAAATACCTTATTTTCTGTCATTAATTTGATATTTTAAAACTATTTGATATGGCTTTCTAGCAATGCTTAGAAAGCAATATAAAATGCTACTGTTTCAATATAACAGTTAATTTAGAGCTAAGATTTATTTAATAAGTTTGGTGAATTTCTTTTTTTGGACAAATACCAGATGTAGATTATAATAAATTTATGTAGAAATTGCAACAAAAAAGAAGTAAGATTTAAGGATGGCACAAGTTCTAGCATGTAGCATATGTATTCAGCCCTACCTCTCCAGGTAAAATTGCCTGAAGGAGTTGAACCTGAAATCAGTTTTGAAGGATTTTTTTTCTTTTAATTAAAATTTTAGAATGAGTGACATCTGACACTCAGTTCAATCTGAAGTTAAAATTTCCTGATGCTGGTGGTTGAGAAGACTGGATCTTTTATTTGAGATACTGTGTGTAGCTGTCCAGAGAAGAAAGGAAGCTAAATAAAATGTTTGTTTATGTCTGTATGAACAAGAATGAGTTATTTGGAATAGGGAAGATTTCTTCTTTTATAATCCATCCTTTTAATGATGATACATCACTCTGGTAAGAAGGATGCAAAAGTAAACTTTGAAGCTTTATATTTTTCGGTGTAACTTTCTGGCTATTCCTAAATAAGATCTACTGTTTCTACACAGAAGCAACCTCATTAATCTGAATTACTGAAGAAACGTGTGAAGAAAGACTAGAAAGTTTAGTCTTGGGGCTTGAGAACTGATGTGCTTCCTCTTGTGAATTGTGGCATGATGTCCTGTGCTTTGGAGTTTCTGCATAAAGACTGTTGCATTTGTCTCAAGTGCAGACTCCATATTCTGTTAATGTGACCACAAAGACATGCTCTTTGCAGAAGTCTAATGTGTTTTCTGAATGCAGTTACCTTTTAGTGGCTTGTATGATCTGTTAAAAACTATATTTGCCTAATATTACAATTTTCAAAAGAAACAAGTTATTCTTAATTATGCTGCTATCTCTGAGGTCTTCACTAAAATGCAAACCAGAAGGACTTGGCAACGGTGTGAAAACTGGAGTAGTTAAGAGTGATGTAAGAGATCTGCTCACCAACAAAATAATGATAAACGGGAGGGTTTGGAGGGAGAGGTAGCTCCTGCTGTATATCCCTTGGTAATGAAATGCCTAAGACAACGTGACACCAAATGGTGGGGGCTTGATCCATGAATAAAGGACAATTTGTTTAGCTATGTTCTGCTTAATTAAACTTATTGGGAAATTGAACTAATTGGGTTATACTGTTACATTACCCAGGATGTGAGATATTCTAACAGAGACCTGGCTGCAGGGGGCAGTGTGTTTGTGTTCATGCTCACTGCTATTTCAGTCCCTTCTAAAATGTTGGGGGTTTTATTAATTAAATCAGCTGAACAACAAAACTGGTTCTTTCAAAGAGAAATCTGAAAATTCTCTTTAGTTGGTAAATTATTCCTCATACAGTTAATGTTTATATCCATAAATTCATTCACTGTATTCTGTTAATCAGTTCTTATTTTAAGATCTGCCTTGTTCTCAGGTGCTTTTACTATTTGTCGCTAACTGAAATTTTCTCCAAGCTAGGGGTTATGCCAGCTTTCTATTTGGCTAGCTCTAACTGCTCGCAAGATGTCAAGAGTGAAGCAGCAACATGTCAGTATCAATTAAGTGCCCTTTGCAGAGTGCAGCAGCAATGCTTTCAAACAAATGCAGTGTCCTTTCTTGGTTTTAAGTGTTGTATAAGGCACTCGGAGAAAGCAACGCAAAGTTGTGTTCTAAAGGTTTGAAATACTTCAATTTGTTCTGTATTTCAAATCACCTTTTATCACACTCAGTGAAATCTAAAATTTTCTATAATGACTAAATTGAAAAATGATGATTTGCACTTCAATGTCATATATACTTGGTTGTCACCTGCCTGATTTTGGGCAGAATGGATTTATTTGAACAACTTTCTCCATTCTCCCTACCCTTTATCATCACCTCCAGATTTCTGCATTACTGCTGCCTTCCTGCTTTTGTCATTGTTTTCCTCCCCTGTGAGAAAAGAATAAACAGTCTTTTATCTCCTGCAGTCAGAGCGCTGTTGTGGAAAGTAGCCCTTACTGCTGACGTCTGAAAAGTCCTGAAACAGGCCATCATTCAGTAATGCCTGAAATGGCAATGAATATTTCAACCCATTATCCAGGAAACAAATCTATGTATTCTCTCTCAGGCTGAAAATTTCTTAGCTAAATGTAGCTTTCACATGAAATAGTTTTTCCAGCATCTATATATAGCTATAATCCTAGAAGACTCTAGTATTTTTTAATATTAAGTAATTCATTTTAGCACTTTCCAGTTAATCCTATTAGTAGCTTAGCTCTAAGAGTAGAAAACTAAAACAGAAAAGGAGAAATTACTTATCCAAAATCACTCATGTAGAAATTAGTTCTCAAAACCCATTATTTTAAGGAATTACATTCCCCACAGCACGCTGTTAGATATCTGTTAAAGTTTCTTATAATTATGCAGAACTAAGTCAGATCTCTTAAGGCTTAGATTAACTGTGTGCACTTTACCTCTCAGTTATAAATATACTGTTATTTATTTCTAACTACACTGACTTCTTACATTTTTTTTTTCAACGCAAAGACAGTTTGCCAGAAAGAAGCCTGGCAGTATGTATGGGTAGTCTATGCTTCTGATCCTGTCAAGGATGTTGAGCTGATTGAAATAAAAGAAAAGCAGAGAAGACTTTAGAAATGTGAGTTCAGACTCTGTTTGAAGAGGTCAGGGGAGTTAAAGAAGAGAAAGACTAAACACTCTCACCCAGACTAGCTTTTTTCCTTTCATAGCAAGGACCTCATCTGGGGAACATTTACTAAGTCATTTGATTTTCATTGTCAGGCCACTATACTATAGAAGTTGTTGGTCTAGGCCACCTAGGCTTGTCCTAAGCCCGTTACACTGGTTCTTCTGTGTGTTGTAACTCATTACCATAGAGATAAATGCTAATGCCAAATCTCAGTGCTCGTTTGACTTGCTCCCTAAGTGCATCCTTATGCACACAGTGGTTGAAGAATGGAGAATCGGTTTCATTAGATTTGTTAGTAAAATATTGTGGGTTTGCCCTTTAGAAACTTCAAGGTTATTTCATGGAAAGTAGGTAAAGCAAAATATATGTTCGGCTAAAAACTCACTGCTCCTTACAGAAGGTATTTGACTGTGATTTGACCATTGTCACATCTAAATATTTCAAGCAGTCACATTCTGCACTCTGAGAAAATAGTGGCAATTCTACTTGTATTTTAACCTGGAACATGCCCATTGAGTTCAAGTGACTCAAGGACCATTTCAATACACTTTAAATTCTTCACCAGCCATGTGGCACTCACAGGCTATGTTCTTTTCTGCCTTG